CCCCAAAACCCCAAAACCCCAAAACCCCTAATAATTTAGTTAAATTGAATTGAACTAACTTTGACTTTCTTCTAAATAATCTGAACTCCTCGAAGACACAGTATCACTTGGCATGATATGTTTGCCTTCTTCTTCGAACAATTCCAAATTGGTCTTCATTCATAAGTCTTCCAAGTGTTTCTTATTTCTTTTTCTTTGAGTCTCAGTCTGAACTTTGGCAAATCTCTTCTGAGCTCTTACACTTTTCTTCAGTAATTTGTGGAGCTTCTGAGTTATACATGTGATTAGAGGAAGGTGCATGTAGCTAAGCATCAACAGCTAAAACTCCACAGGCCCATAGAAAGTTCTTCAAAGATCTCTTGAAAAGATACCAAAGTAAGAATCAATAAAAATTGGCTAATAGAAAGACTTGAAGGTGTATAATTGTTACTGGTAGTAACATTCGAGCCTTTTAGTTTACTCCAAAGGTCTCATACTATGCTAAGAGGCAGTATCATCCAGACTAAGCTAACATCAATATCTGCTTACCTTCTTTCCTGGTCTCTTTTGGATTCTGTTTAATTTCTTGACGATAGTTGCATTCTTCTATTCATATTGGTTAACAAATAAAATCCTGCTAAAAATTTAATGAATATTTACAAAGCAAAATAATTAAGCGACCTCGGCCTTGATCCCTGATGGATGGATGGCAAATTCCTGAAATCTCCAAAGAACTAGCAGATTTTTGTAATGTTTTAAGTCCTCTAAAAAATATTTCTACACTTCCAGATATCTTAGCCCATTCTTGCTTATTATTTTCATAAATATCAAATGATTTTTGGTCATAAATTTTAATAAGTGAAGAGTATCTTTCAAGAACTAAGGTTTAGCTCAGCGAGATAATGTCACATGGGATATATATTCAAGAGGTGCCCTCACAAGGGTATCTACAAGATATTTTGTTAACATTCGGTCTACGATAATGAGCATGCACAGAGAACAGTGGTTATGAAGATAAGCTATGTTTTGGGCAGAATAAGTATATGTACTGAAACATAAAAGGATCAACTTCATTTTGCAAAGTGCTTAGGAGTGTTTTGCTACTTGGCTTACCTTCTCAATCTCCTTTATTGTGTTGAGTTTGGGCTTGGGTGGAATTGGTCTGAGTTTCGAGGGATCTTCAAATTTAAATTCGCTCTTGAAATGAACTGTCTGAAGTTTGCTCATTGGCTGCATTCCAAGCTCTTGATTATGAGATCTAATCAATTTAAGTCAAACATTACTCTAAGTTTTCTCTTGGAGTTACAGGATATAGTGCAGCTTGGCTCTTAGTCTTGTTCTGAGATTCTTTCAAAAATTTTGCTCTTAAAATAAGAGGCAATACTTACTGTTCAACCAGGTCTGAAGGAGGTTCATCAGTAAGGTCATCTGATACATCACTTAGACCTTCGTCTTGCATATCTATTCCTCATTAATAACCAAGAAATTGAATATAGAGCTCTGGATAACTTTCTTTGCACTCAAAGCCTTAATATCAAAATGATCTTATTAGAAAGAAAACGTATGTAAGACTGAAATCTCAAAGGCTGAATAACTTCTTCTCGCTGGAACCACCAAATACTTACTCTTTTGAGATTCGAGCACATTCTTGATATTAACTTTGTAATCGCCAAAATTGACTTCGTCTTCAGCCTTCTGCTCCAACTGCTCTATGAACTTAGGCGAATATATATTTTCATCGATCATCATTCCCTTATTTTTTCTTAATAAGTTTATCCATACAAGCCAACTGTGGGCTCTGCAGAAAGTACTTGCTTCTCTCCATCTGGAGACGTAGGTAACGAGGATACTTCGGCCTTGGAGATACCGGACCCTGTCTATTGGATAGTGACTATAGCTTTCAAACAAAGATTACTGCTTTTGAGAAGAAAGTGGTGTTTTTATTAAAATTCTTGCTACCTAGTACTCCTTTTAAGTTCCGACTACTGTTCTTCTCAATAAGCTTCTTGAAATTAATTCCTTGTTGGGTTGACTCCTCATGAATGACTGATGTCAGCTCCTAAGAGTTTAGCTACTTTCAAAAACTTACCTTACTAGAGTCTTCCTTGTGAGTAACCTTTGGAGTATTCCTGAACTCATTATACTGGTTAAGCTTTAAACCAAGCTCTTGACTATCAATCATTTGCTTAAGCTTTTTGAATCTTTTATGGTTGTCAGCAGTATGGAGCTCCTTTTTCTTCTTAAAGTTATATTTCATGTTGAGCTCATCAAGATATCTAGATTAGGTTAAGAAAGAGACTATACACATTGATCATCACCTGGATGTTCAAAGTTGTTCCATTTCGTTTATGAAACTCCCTCATTATAAATTCCTTTAGCTTTGGGTTATTATCAATAGTGGCTATCCCACATTTTGCTCCAGGGAGAGGATCATCTTCTTCAGGTTCAAAGGCCAACTGAGGGATTTTACTATAAATAAGATTCAAATTTTTACCTATGAGAGATGCTTCTGATCCCACCAGTCATTCCATCCTTTTCATCTTGGTGTAGACGAATTAGATCAGAAGGGATTCTAGCAATGTTAGCTTTTCTTCTCTCTTGCGGCTTAGTCTCATAAGATTTGTGCCTCTTAGTCTCATAGTAGTGCTTCATAGACTCCCAGTAACGCTTAATTTTCCTTGAATTGAACTTAGGATTATTTTTGCACTGATCTTCAAACTCCTTCATCCTGATCAATTTGAGCTAAACTATCAATGCTGCAAGCATACCTGCCGATTAAACTCAAATAATTTATTTATCACTAGTAGTCTCTTTTTCAACCATGGTCTCAATGATCTTGCTAAGTTTGACGATTTCTTCATCCTGTAACTTAAAGTATCTCCGCTTGGTTCCTACGAGGGTGATCCAAGATGCGTACCTTTCTTCTTCAAGGGCCTGGACCCACTCCGAGCCCGCTTCTTGAATGCAGTAAAAGTGCTCCCATGTATACTTGGGTACGCAGTGTCGATATAAGTTTCTAGAGAGTCGAAGATAGATACTAACCTGATGTAGACATTTTAAGAAATAATATTTCTATTCTTAGGAATAAAACAGGGGTTTTGGGGTTTTGGGGTTTTGGGGTTTTGGGGTTTTGGGG